GCACCCGAAGCAAGAATCATACCCCAAGACCAACGAGCCATGGAAAATGCGTCATCTTTTGGTGAGCAATGTGGAAACAAAAGTACAAATGCAACAAGGTTGGAAAATTTTGTTGATGAACCATAATGTAAGCTGGGCTCATCTGGGATTTGAACCAGGGACCTCTCGCACCCTAAGCGAGGATAATAGCCCTAGACCAAGGAGCCTTGGAACCTTGGTTTTATTTGGTGTCCAAAGTGGAAACAAAACTACAGATTCAACAAGATTGGCAAATTTAGTTGTTGAACCATTATGAAAGCTGGGCTCGTCCGGGATTTGAACCCGGGACCTCTCACACCCAAAGCGAGAATCATACCTCTAGACCAACGAGCCATGGAACTTTGGTTTTATTTGGTGTGCAAAGTGGAAAGAAAACTACAGCTGCAACAAAGAGTGGAAAATTTAGGTGTTAAACCATAGTTAAAGCTGGGTTCTTCCTGGATTTGAACATGGGATCTCTTGCATTCAAAGCAAGACTCATACCCCTAGTCCAACAAGCCATGGAATGTTGGTTTCCTTTTGGTGTGCAATGTGGAAACAAAACTACAGATGCAACAAGGTTGGAACATATAGTTGTTGAACCATAGTGAAAGCTGGGCTCGAACGGGATTTGAACCCGGGACCTCTCGCACCTGAAGCAAGAATCATACCCCGAGACCAACGAGCCATGGCACATGGATTTTCTTTTGGTGTGCAATGTGGAAACAAAACTACAGATGCAACAAGGTTGGAAAATTTAGTTGTTGAACCATAATGAAAGCTGGGCTCGTCTAGGATTTGAACCCAGGACCTCTCGCATCATAAGCGAAAATAATACCCCTGGACCAACGAGCCATGGAACATGGGTTTTCTTTTGGTGTGCAATGTGGAAACAAAACTGCAGATGCAACAAGGTTGGAAAATTTAGTTGTTAAACCATAATGCAAGCTGGGCTTGTCCGGGAATTAAACCCGGGACCTCTCGCATCCTAAGCGAGAATCATACCCCTAGACCAACAAGCCATTGAACATAGGAATTCTTTTGGTGTGCAATGTGGAAACAAAACTACAGATACAACAAGGGTGAAAAATTTAGGTGTTGAACCATAATTAAAGCTGGACTTGTCCTGGATTTGAACCCAGGACCTCTCGAACTGTAAGCGAGAATCGTACCCCTAGACCAACGAGCCATGTTGTATTGGTTTTATTTGCTGTGCAAAGTGCAAAAAAACTACAGATCCAACAAGGGTGGAAAATTTAGGTGTTGAACCATAATTAAAGCTGGGCTCGTCTAGGATTTGAACCCGGGACCTCTCGCACCCAAAGCGAGAATCAAACCCCTAGACCAACGAGCCTAGGTGTATGGGTTTCTATATGTTGTGCAAAGTGGAAAGAAAACTACAAATGCAACAAGAGTGGAAAATTTAGTTGTTGAACCATAATGAAAGCTGGGCTCGTCCGGGATTTGAACCCGGGACCTCTTGCACCCGAAGGAAGAATCATTCCCCTAGACCAACGAGCCATTGAACATGGGTTTCTTTTGGTGTGCAATGTGGAAACAAAACTATTGATGCAAAACACATGGAAAATATAGGTGTTGAACCAAAATTAAAGCTGGGCTCGTCCAGGATTTGAACCCGGGACCTCTCGCACCCAAAGCGAGAATCATACCCTAGACCAACGAGCCATGGAACCTGGGTTTTATTTGGTGTGCAAAGTGGAAACAAAACTACAGATGCAACAAGGGTGGAAAATGTATTTGTTGAACCATGAGGAAAGCTGGGCTCATCCGGGATTTGAACCCGGGACCTCTCGCACTCTAAGCAAGGTTCATACCCCTAGACCAACGAGCCATGGAACCTGGGTTTTATTTGGTGTGCAAAGTGGAAAGAAAACTACAGATGCAAAAAGATTGGAAAATTTAGGTTTTAAACCATATTTAGAGATGGGCTCGCCCGGGATTTGAACCCAGGACTTGAACCCGGGACCTCTCGCACTCAAAGCGAGAATCATATCCCTAGACCAACAAGCCATGGTGTATGGGTTTTATTTGATGTGCCAATGTGGAAACAAAACTACTGATGCAACAAGAGTGGAAAATTTAGTTGTTGAACCATAATGAAAGCTGGGCTCGTCCGGGATTTGAACCCGGGACCTCTCGCACCTGAAGCAAGAGTCATACCCCTAGACCAACGAGCCATGGAACATGGGTTTTCTTTTGGTGTGCAATGTGGAAACAAAACTACTG